ATGGACCCGATACAGTTTCCATTTCCACCGCACAACGATGGTTTCAACGTTTTCGTTCTGGTGTAGAGGTGGTCGAAGATGCGCCACGCTCCGGAATTCCTGTCGTCGAAAATTGCGATAAAATCGCTGAATTGGTCGAAAGAGACCGGCGTACTAGCAGTCGTAGCATCGATCAAGAGTCATCAAAGAAAAAAAAAATACCGCAAAACTTTTTTTGTCAACCTAATATATAAATTATTCCCTCCATTTCGGAAACTGCAGAACTTCTTATTTATCTGTTTATTGTTTCCTCTGAGATTTGAATAATCGTTTATTTATATATAGCTTTTAGTTTTATTGAATATTTTCATATATTTTTGCTACAACGTAGTGAAAACATATTTAATTTGCAAATTTTAGTGAACAATAATTTATTTTATAATTTTGCTTATAAAATTTACTTAATTTTTCACTGGGCTACTTTTTTTTCGTGCTCACCAACACAGTGACAGATCCTCTAATGCCGACCACTGATTTACAGTAGAAAAACCACCGTCCCTATAGGAAATATGAGATGGTGTTTTTACAGTGGCTGTACATCTTATATGAGTGCGAAGAAAAACATTTTTGAAAGTGTTAAGCTAGTAAAGTCTGCACCACAACAAACAAATTCGCGGAAAACAAATTGAATTGGACTTAATTTGTTGACTGCTGCTAAAATTACTGACAAGGGTTACGCAATTAAATTAAAAAGGAATGAAGCCGTGATTATTAACAGACACAATAAAGTGGTATTGGATGCTGAACATATTGACAATTTGTGTTATTTAGAAACTTAGAAAAATTTCACAAATTTGGCAAATATCAAAAATAGTATTGATTTGCGGAATTATAGAATAGGACACGTTAACGAACGCGATTTTGAATCAATGGCAAACGGTCCCTTATATGGATTAAAGTTTAAACCAACTGAAATACTCTTCGATTGTGAAATTTGTGAAAGTGAAAAGCAAGTACGTGTAGCCTTTCCTAGAATAGATGGAAACAGAGTTGGGGATCTGTTTTTGGCAATGAGGTGGGAGTCTTAAGGCGGTGCGAAATATTTTCTGACATTTATTAACGTAAAGTCAAGGTGATGAAAAATATTTTTCACAAAATAAAAATCACACCTACTAGATGTTTTTAAAGAGTATAAAGCAAAAGATGAGACATTCACTGGAAAGAAATAAAAGCGTTGCAATCTGACGACGGGTGTGAATGTTGTAATAAGGAACTAAATAAATTTTTAAAAGAGTGCGGAATCAAAAGTCGACTTACTTAGTTGATATAGCTGAATGTAAAAACAGAACTCTAACAGAGCTCTTGTTGACAGGCCTAGGRGCATGATGAAACATGCAGGTGTACCACCATCTTTCTGAGTTGAAGCAAAGAATACAGCTTGTTATATTTGAAATCGTTATGTAAGAAAATAATTGGTACAATAGCATATGTTCTTAACAAAAATCCTTCAAAAGGAAAATTCTATTCGCGCTCTGAGCCATCTATATTTGGTGGATACTCATTCGAATCAAAGGCGTGAGGTAGGTGCAGGTAATAAATTACGTGGTAGAGGTTGACCAATGTTTGTACGCACGGGACAAGGAGGGCGACGATGAAAAGTGTATCGCCAGTTAATCTAATGACGATTCAGAGGAGGAGGTCACTAATTCAGAAGATATCTATGAGTGTAGCGAAGCACGTTTTATAATTAATGATCTGAATACTCTGGCAGAGGCGCTTTAGGCTACGTTTATGACCGAGCGGATTCGCGTCTCGCGATGCGATGAAAATCGCTCTATCGCTACCAGCGGTTTCGCCATCGTAATCGCTAGCGATTGAGTGTTTACAGTACAGCGAAATCAGAAGCGATTGAAAATTTATAACGTCAAATCCGTTCGTAGTTTCTTTTACTTTTCATTAAAAAAAGACATGTGTGCACGCGTTCGTAAAATTTTGCTTACAGAAAGTAGTCTTTTAGTACGTCAGCAGATTTTAAGATTTTGTAAACAGAAAAGATTCCAAGTGCATCCAATTTGCAAAGAACGCAAAAGCCATGGAGAGTTCCATCATTTACACACCCGCCTTCTACAATATCCTGAGAAGTTTATAGAGTATTACCGAATGAGAATTAACACGTTTAATTATATCTTGAATAATATATATAAACATAAAGAAAAAAATACTAGAAATCAGAAAACACCAATTGATGCTGTAGAAAGGCTCGCACTGACCATAATTTACAATATTATGTATTCATTCCATAAATTTTTATTCAATTTTAATATTTATACTTGTTCACTTACATATGTAAGTATGTATTTAATATAATATTACACACATTAATATTAAGTAGCTTAATTAAAATTTTGCGSATTTGGAAAAATGAAGCTGTTTGAATCCTGCGTTTCAATATTTGGGCTGCTACTCACATAACTAATAAAAGAAACTGGCGTAGCCGATTCCTGATTATCTCTGGCGTACATAATGTCGTACATAACCTCCTGCATTTTCATGCGAAATTTTATTTTTTTTCTTCACCCATATTTTTTATGTACTTTTTGAAACTCATAAGAAAAAGGTAATCACCATCCTCCTCATCGTTGCTTTTTTCTAGAAGCTTACGCTTCTTTTCCTCCAGCTCCAAAAACGCTGAGCTTTCTGTAAGTTTTTTCTTTAATTTTTTAKGTGTAGGCTGCATCAATTTTATGGATTCAGGAGTTTCCGATTTATCTTCATCATGAAGTTCAACCAATTCATCACAACTTGTTTCATTGATCAAGTTACCTGACATGGAGCGCGATTTCATAATATCTTGTAAAAAGCACATATTCTTAAAATGTGTTCATTTTGAATGCGGCATTGTAGCGCTGCCTGAAGCCACCACATTTTCCTTACGAAGTTCTCTACGATAGCTGTCTTTCAAGTTTTTCCATTTTTTTGCACCAGAGCCCGCTGAAACACATGTAAAAAGAATAATTTCGTTTAAATTTATTTTCAGGTTTTTAGCAACGGGAAATTCATTCCGATCKTTGGCTTTTTCTTATYGCATAGGAATTGCTACAGTGGCCAAAATTACTAGAGAAGTATGTGMCGCCCTTTGGACGTCTCTGGTTTCCAAACATTTGAATCGCAAAACAAATGAAGAATTGATAAAAATAGCAGACGAATTTTACTCCAAATGGGGATTTTCGAATTGCATTGGAAGTATCGACGGCAAACATATTCATTGCAAAGGCCACCGCATTCTGGCAGCATGTTTTTCAACTACAAACACTTTTTTTCCATCGTTTTACAAGGCATTGCCTCTGCTGACTACAAGTTTACTGCCATTGAAGTTGGAGCATATGGCAAACAGAGTGATGGTGGCATTTTTGAATCTTCAACATTACATAAGCTTATAGAAACTGGAGAATATGAAATTCCAGAAGAGCGGAATCCACCAGGCACAGAAATTGCAGCACCATTCGTAATGCTTGGGGATGAAGCATATCCACTCAGAAAATATTTATTGCGCCCATATTCTAAAACAAATTTGAACAATGACTCTGAACTATTCAACACAATGCTATCTAAATCCAGAAAATCTATTGAATGTGCTTTTGGTATTATTACAAACAAATGGCGTTTACTAACCAAATCAATCGAAAGTGATATTTATGGTGCAGAACTATTTGTTAAAACTATTTGTTTGCTACACAATATTATAATTGATAAAGAGGGAGTTTGTATGGAAACCTTAATGCAAGTTCAGCAAACTATTCCCATAAATATGAATAGGCAGAGGCAGTATAACAGAAGCTCTGAAGCTGCTACGACTATGCGAAACAATTTTAAAGAATATTTTGTTCAAAAAAATGTTATATTCACTTAAGTAAAGGTTGTTTATTACATAAAAATAAAATAATACTATTACTTACCTTCCAAACCGCATTCTTTTTCTACTTCTTCCCAAGCTTTTCTGATTTCGTTTCTATAATGATAATCTGGATGATGCAGATTCCACAAACATTCTTTATTTCGCACTTTTTCAATAAATTTGTCCATCGTGTTTAACGCGATTCGCTCAACTGAATCAAAAATTTTGATCGCTGATTTTCGTCGCTAGCAGTCGCTCCATTTTCGCTGAAACCGCTTTTCGCTAAATCGCTGCACGATAAACACCTCCGTATGGATTTATGTATTTGATCGCTAGTAGCGATTTTCATCGCATCGCGCGACGCGAATCAGCTCGGTCATAAACGGTGCCTTATATATTTGATAACGAATTTTTGGCGTATATGAGAAACAAAACTTGTAAAATAGTTGAAAAGCCTTTGAATCGTTAAGTAATTGGTAATAAGTTCTTGGTTACGTTAATCGTTGTATGGGTATAGATTTTCATCAGAATCGAGAGAAAAGCGAAATATTTATATCGCAGATTACATAAGCGGAATCAATAGTGAAGTAATTCAGAATGTTAGAGTGCAATCGAAACGCCAATAGAACTGAATTGCAAACTTCGACAAAAAATAAGGCGATTATGGCGAAATATTGATACCAAGGCTTAATCGGCACTTTGATGTACTTAGCCGTATCTACAAGACCAGATATAGCGTATCCCGTAAATTTTATCAATTTAACAGCAACTACACTGAACAGCATTGGAAGTCAGCGAAAAAAAAGTTTTACGATACGTCAAGGGCATAGTATAACAGGATTTACTTTCAGCAGTACCAGAGTGCACAAAAATTAGCAGTGTCTTCGAATTTCCGCACTCGGTCGAAACAAATTAATGTACGAAATTATTTTATTTGAAAGTCCTTGCGAGATAATCCCATTACACTAGAGTATATGTCAACTCAGGAAGTGCCAACGTACATATTAACTAAGGGCCTTACGAAACTGAAACATATTAATTGTTTATCAAGTTTGAATCAAAAAGAGGAAGAATAGACTCTGTACATCGAGAGTTGTTGTGGAGGCGAAGTAGTTCGTAGTAAAAAGTATTAAGTGAATATGTATTTAAATTACAACTATGTACCTCTTGGAACCTGCATTCCTTTTCTATATTCTCTTTTGTTATATCCTTTTATAAACTGTAAAGACATGTTTATAAATATTAAATAAAGTCAGTCGTTATTTAAACTTAAATCTTCTCGACCACCAGGAATTTTACACCGAAAAAAACCTGCATGAGTTAAACTCGGTCGAGTTTTGGAACGCAACCATGAATGATATGATTCATGTGCGAGTAAATGCCCTTATGTCCAAAAAATAATGGCATTTTCACGAAAATCTGGGAATCAGTGACAAACGTCTAAGTCAGGGAATTCCCTGACAAATCAGGAAATATGGTAACTGAACAAATGGGGCAAGAAAAGAGTTACTCTTATATTTTTTTAATATAGCTTAATTTATTAAAGGGGGTTAATGTTGACACTTCACACAATAATAATAAAAATCTATAATAAGTATATAAAGGCATTCGCTACATGCCAAGATACGATCGAATAAATGAAGCGTATCCCGATGAAAATTAGACGATGTGTAGGATCCCGGTCGAATTAATGGTTATAAGCCGCATGCAGGATAGATCCGATTTTGTGTATGTAGTTAATTGTAGCGCGCGGGTTGGGTGTAGAAAGAAAACAAAATTGACGTACGAAGTGTCTATGACGAATGTTCACGTGCGAATGGGGATGGCGAAAGTGTCGAACCAACCGAGTCTGCTTTCTCCTTGTCCATCCTTTTTGATGAGTGAGTGTATACGTAATTCGAGTTGTGTTGGTGTCTTCAGCTGTGGTGAATTAAGCTGTCTTATTAAGGTGCGCCAGTTTTCCCGGGTAGAGAGGGTGAATGCTTAACTCATTTAAACATCCTGGGCCCCCTTGGCGAATATTTTGCCTAGTATTGCGTAAGTATATGCTGTTGCATTTATTTCGGCGTACTACTGGTAGAGTAGCCGAAGCGCGGAATACGTTCTGGCAGCAGAAGTATTTCTTGATTGAGTTGTAATATACTTTTATTTATCCGTATGTGTAGAGAACGGATATTGGTTTGAAACATACCGCATGTAGTTGAATGTGAATTTTAATATTCGGGTAGATGCTTAAGAAAAGCAACTTTATTTTGCGGGTTTAATTGATTTTACTGACAACTTTTTGTATTTGCGATTTTTTCTTTTATCGTTTTATTAAGTGGATTATTTATTATTTGCCTTTTCTGTATGATCGACATGTGTTTGCATTTTATTTTATTCTCGGCTTATAAAGGATAGTAACTCCACGCCTGGCTCAGATATGGCCATAATGGGTACTCCTAAGCCCTGGAGTGAGGACTGTGACGATAGAAGAGGGATCTTGCGAGCGTACAGTGAATGACCGTAAATTGAAATCGACTTCGATTCTTGTTAATACTATACATAATTGTTCATAGTTAATTTGAAGCTTTATACAGCTGATTTCCATATCCCACCCATATGAGGAGCGCATGGATTGTTACGATAAGAGAGTAGGTGCGTCAATGTATCGCATTGGGAGTATGGTGATCCCTTAACTTATTTACTTTTTTGATATAACTAAGTTATGTTATATTTTATGTTTTCAGTGCGTGTGCACGAATTTGGCATTTAGTAGCTCGCCACCGTTCTAGGATTTGTTCATAATCTTTTTCATTTTTGGCCAAAGCCATCCTGCGGGCCGAAAAGTTGTATCTGCTTTTAATATATGGATTGTCAGAGGTAAATCTGACTTTGTTTATTATACCATTATGTGGGGTATTCGAAAATTGTGGCGCTAGTGGTTGTCGTACCACGTACCGGCCATTGTTTGATCGAGTAGTTGTGGCTTTAGGGAAGTGCTCACAATACTGATCTTTTATAGTTTTATTTAATATTCGGGGAAGTTTTCCTATCTCTTGGAATTTCCTTAATTGTGAATTAAGGTATTGATTTGATTTTTTCTCAACTTGAGTTGATGTGTTGGTAACTAGTTCTGTAACTGGTCCACTTTGAGTTTCGCTGCATAGTGTTTGAACTTTTTGTGCCTTAGAGCAACATGGTGTCTTTTGGCAATTTTTAGAGTTGTAGGTTTCGAGATTTGCTTTCGCAATTGAACTCGTGGTTCTTTTTCTGTAATCGACTCTTTGGAGTGAAATGGGATATCTGCTGTAATGAAGCATTGAATTGTGTCTTTTGTGACAATATAAGCAATTATAGTTACTTTTACAATTTTTAGGATTGTGTGTATGGGACAAGCAGTTTGTACAGAGTCTTTTTGATCTACCAAAGTTGTTCCTTTCGTTAATATTTATTTTTTTAAACTTCTCGCAAGTTTTAAGTTTATGCCCTCTTTTACATTGTTCGCATGACGTTTGTTTTCTTTGTTCGGATGTGAACGCTTGTGTTTTGTAAAAGCTTTTGTTTAAATTGTTGTTGCTTCTAGCTTGGGGTCTATTTAAGCTTCCATTTTGGTCGTGTTTAATGTTCTTAGTTTTGATTATTTTTTCTTCTAACCT